TTCCTCTTTATAACTGATCTCTGCACTGCTTAGCCTGTGCCTGCAGCCACAGCTCACACTGGTTTTTTTTCCTTTTCATTATAGCTGCTCAGTTCCCATTGAAGTGACAGCAGAGTGAAGGAGAGTGCAACATGGTGTCTGTGTGTGCTCGAGGAGGACCGGACCACGGTACACTTACAGTACAGGACAAGTCACGGCTGAGCTGAAAGGCTGCAGGTCAGCTCAGGTCAAGTGCTAGTTAGGAAGGTGGTGAGTTGTGTTTCCAAAATAAAAACAACACAAATGTATTTACAAATAACAATATCAGACTTAGCAGCAGCCCTATAGAAGAAGCAAGGCATGAATACAACACACAGTACAAACAGGAAATGTAGTGGTCCATCATTATGTATCCCAGAGCAGATGTCGTCTAACTGAAGACTTTCAGAACAAGATTGGTAAAGAGAAGGTAAAGGGTGGTAAAGAAAACCTGTACAGGACAAACTGTCTGTGAATTAAACAAATGTCAGTAACATTTCTACACAGAAAACGTTCCTTCATTGTGAGACAGGCAGAGACAGGAAATCTCCAGTCATGTTTCAAAATGTCCAGTTACTGTAAAGACCAAACTGGTCCCTTGACTTTGTAGGTTAGTTGACCTTTAAACAACTAAATACTGTAGTCTGACCTTGACCTTTGGGTTAGAGGGCAGCCTTGCTAAAGCTCCTGGTCCCGTCGGTGAACACTGTCTAGGACTGAGAGTGGGAGATTTAGAAAGAGCAGAGTGGTAGCGACACAGGACAGGTCCCACTAGGTAAAGGAGGCATGTTCAGACTACATCTGGCAGCCTATTAGTACTGAGCCACTGGCTGCTCCTTGTGCAAGTCAGGGTCACCATGCTTTACTTGTCCCTTCTCATTCACTATACATTACTACTATAATGTAAGCAAAGCCCCTTTCTGAAGCCTGATGCAGTGGGGACACAGGGCTCGTCAGACTCGTGTCTACCTCCACTGTCTAAAAAAGGGGGGAAGAGGCAAAGGGGCTTTCACTAACTATAACAAAGCCTGGGAAGGTGCCTTTAAAACAGTATAATACAAGCCAATATTGCACAGGGCTTGTTATTAGAACTCCACTAAAGGTTGGCTAACCCAATACGTAAAAATTCTATCAAATACCTAACAAATTTTCAACTTGCTAGTTAGGAAGTTTCTGGCATTTGGAAACTGTCTAAAATGTGATGGACAGAGATGGGGACTAGGAAGCTGACTGTGCCATCTTTAAAAAAGGAATTCAAATATTAACAGAGATACTTACAAATATGAAAGTAAAAGATCAAACCAAACCAGGGGGAAAGGAAAATAATGACAGTCAGTCCATTTTTATAACCCTGCCATGGCAAAACTCTCACCAGCAAGTTAGGTGACCCCCTGATACACCAAAGGTAACAGTGGCAATATTCACATTCCTACTGGACGTATTCAACAGGCAACTGCCATCCTTAAAACCTAAGCTGACACTTCAATTCCAGCACAACCCGCTATGAGAAACCCAAAGTCCACCTCCAGGATCTGCATCTACCCTCCCTGCAATGAAACTTGTACCATGGCTGGGTTACACCCTGAAAAGTAAACAAGGGGGGGGGGGTGTCTCTCCACCGTGCTCAAATATCCCATAAAAAGGCACCAGTCAGAGCAGGTGAGTGGAAGGGAGATGGGGACCGGGAGGTAAGGGGTTGAGGAGATATGCAAGGAAGGAAGGAGCTGCATTCCAAACGACCGAGCGTTACCTCTCTGGCCTTCTGTGCTGCCAACTCAGCCTGCCGCTGCCTCTCCAGCTCCTCTAGCAGCTGCCGCTCCATGATGCGTTTCGCCTCCTCAACGCGCCGCAGCACCTCCCTCTCAATTTCATCCTTCCTCTTCTCCAGCTCCTCCTCCACTCGCTTGGCCACAAGCTCCTCCACCCGCCGTGCTGTCTCCTCCTCGATCAGCTTCTCCTCAATCTCCTGCTGCCGGCTGGATCACAGAGGAGGAAGAAAGATGACAGGAGGGAAGTAATTCAGAAAGATGCTTTATAGGAAACCAGCAATGTATTTATTTTAAATCTGATCTGCACACACACAAATAGAAGACAAAATCAGAAATCTAACAAAAATTATCTTTCCTCAAAACTATTTGCAGTAGTGATTTCTGGCACAATCTTTTAAATATCATGTGGTCTCTGAAATCAGCATGTCTCACTTTGGCCTAGAGTGAGTCCATCGGCTTCGTAAGCATGTTTAAATAGTGTTGTCTTTATATGCATTTCCACTGTGCCATCATCACAGCAGTGCTGACCACAGGGCTATGATGTTGCAGGTCCTTGTGGTCGCTATCCACTGAGTTAATAACCTCACCATTACACGCCCTGCGTAGGAGAAGGGCCTAGCCCAGATTTGTCTTTAAGACAAAGTGACCGGTTCAATGTGTGGTCATGCAGGACGGTGTTGCTTCTCTTTTCTTTTCTCTCTCCTCTATCCACTCACTCCAACCGGTCGAGGCAGAAGGCCGCCCACCAAGAGCCGGAGTCTGTTGGAGGTTTTTTCTGTTAAAGGGAGTTTTTCCTCCCCACTGTCACTAAGAGGGATTTGTTGGGTTTTTCCTTGGTAGTAATAACAATAATAGTAAGGTCTGGACCTTACTTTGTAAAGTGTCCTGAGGCAAATGTTGTGATTTGGTGCTATACAAATAAAACTGAATAGAACTGGGGAAAAAAAACGTTCTATTCTTCTTTATTCCTGAAACTGTACTCTGAACAGGAAGCTATTAGGATTTGGGAGGTGTTGTGTCAAACCAATTCTGACACAACTGTAAACACACACCCGCCTTCTCTGGATTTGATTTCATCCTGTCAGCCACTGGAAACCAGAGAACTTACTCAGCCCAGACCCAGGTCCTTTCCTCTCTCTTGCCTGTACTAGTCACTGTTTCAGGATATTTACATTTGTATGCCTGGGTAAGTGACCCAGTGACTATTAAGCATTAAAAAAGTGAGCCACTCAAGATGCCAGCTGTGGGACAGTGGCTTAGATCTCAGGTGTCTGTATGCCTCTGGCTACCATGCACACAGTCACAATAGCAGCTTCCCTGTCCAGCTCCCCACTTGACAATAAACAGTCAGTGGTTGTTATGTGCTGCAAACACTAAGATGAGAAATGGTGACACTGTTTGAAGGCACCAAAACAACTAATAAACCACACCTTCAACACAGTTATGTAACCGGTAAAGGGTATAATTGTTTCATCTAACTAAATTTCGAAGTGTATTTTCTAATAAGCCCCAAACTGCAATGCCGCTTTCTGCACTAACAGGGCTAATCTTGTGCGGTTAAATCCCTGTTGAATCTAGCTAACGTTCGCATGCGCTAGCGGCTAGCTTGTTTGTATTAGCTTGTTAGTGTAAAGAGCTAACGTAATCTGTACTGCAGGAAACTAGCTTAGCACATATTAGCATTTATCTTAGCACATATTAGTTCAACACAGATAACGATATAATTAGAGTGTTATTATATACACACATCTTCCTTTGTCTTTCCATTTCTGCCTTTTTCTCCTCCTCCTCCTTCCTCTGCTTCTCGTCTAAAGCATTTCTCTTGCTCAGTGTCCTCCCGAAAATGTCGATGCGCTCTGGCGGCGAGGCTGGTCTGTCTCTGCGGGACGAAGCTGTGTTGGACCGGGAACGGGATCGAGAATCTCTGCGCCGGCTCCTTTTCGATTCTCGGGATTTGGACCGTTTCTTAGATCTTTCCCTGTCTCTGGACCGTGACCGGCTCCGTTTCTTACTGTGCTTGCTACTTTTGGAGTGTTTGGACCGAGACGAGCTGCGGCTCCGAGAGCGGCCCATATTTACCACTTTCACCAGTCGAGCGCTTACTAAACTGCTATGTCTAATGTCAGATATGTGTGCAATATCTGGAATTCCGCTCCACTTGCCCCTCTTATTATTTCCAAGGAATTGACTTGTGGAATTGTTTCAATGGTGCTATTTTGCAGAAATAATTCTTCCCAACTGATTGTTATTTTTGCCCTCCACTGACTCGCTATAAAGAAAGATGGCGGCTTGTCGAGTTCATAGTTTCCCAGCAGCCACCGCGGCTGTCGGTATTTTCCGGCGGTGTTCGGGTACAGTTCCAGAACTTGCCCTTTCAAGAGAAATGGTTTTAAAGTGTGCAAAATGTTTGTATGAATGAATTTACAGAATATACCCTTTCAAAACATATGTTGTGCCTATAGTTAAAGCTGCATTTGATGCAATGTGTGTAATGTGTAATTCATTACATCATGCAATTTGAACTGATCTACAAGATTTCTTCTAGATTAAAAAGACCTTAACTGATTTTTTAAAAATTGTCTTCTACTTTGATGACACTACAAATAAAATATGTTTTATTGTCTTTATACTTTACTGGGACTATATTTTATGCATAAAAATAAATGGCCAACCGGCAACCTCCTATTAACTTGTTCATAAGCGACTTAAGAGCATATCTGAAAACCATTTGCTAAATGCTAAAATCAAAAAAACTGACAAAACAATTCAGAAATTTCAACAAGCACAACCTTCTAATATTGTAATGCTGTTGTAATGCTGTATGCTGCATACATTTTTATGTATATTTGCAAATGCTTGTTTTGCAAATATTTATTTCTTTGTTTTGATTTGTTATTCATGGCTACATGTAAATGTACACTTGAATTGGATATGAATTTCAATAACGAAATGGAAAAAACAATGTTAGGGTTTGGAGCAAACGTCGGTAGTACTGACAAATGTTTGCATGTCCATGGTAGCTACGTACTGTATTGGGCCAAGCCAGATTTAAGCAGGTTTAATGTGGAAGAGAAGCTGAATACATTATTAACGGGAAGAATACATTAGAACATCAGATACATCAGATAACCTTCCTACAGTTGAAACAAGGGAGAAAAAGATGCCATAACTTTATAATGACACAAGACTGCTATCCCACTCTGGCAAAATGAGGCCATTGTGATTCTCCCACAAGTGCTGCACTCAAAATAAACTGCCATTGCTATATTTAAAAACAGGCAACTCAAAATCCTAATGAATCAGCTTTAAAAAGGTCATACCACTCAAACTAAAAATGAGTCCTTCAACTTCAGGATTGAGTTTCTTCTAATTACCTGCAGCTTTCAGCCTCTCAGTCTAATTTTAGTAGAATGAAATAATTTGTTCACATGGAGTCATGCTGTGTGCTGCTGCAATGGTAGATCAAGGATACTTTTAGTTGTTGTGAACAGTTGTCAGATATGTCACTTTCATACGCACATATGAAAAAGGGCTTCTGTGTTGACTAACTGTGCATTCAGGCAGACAGACTGTGAGTACCACCACAAAAGTAAACATCTCCCCAGAACTGAAGCAAAGACAGAGAATATGTTTTTTTAGTGCCACTAATTATGATAAGTTTTGGTTCACCTTTATCTGTCACATCTTGTTAGTCATACACTCAAAGCCAAAGATTAGATTTTTTATTATTTGTGATTGTTTTTTTGTTTTATTGCAGAGTTTGTCTGCTTTGCTCCTCGGTGGTTTGGGGTGAATGTTGAAGGAGACATAATAACATGAGCAGAAAACACAGGGCTTTTAGAGAGGCATTCAAAGAGCCCATGAGCAGGTTTCATATTTCCCTAATCCATGTCTGAAAGGATGTCATGCAGAGGTAATCTCAGAAGGAGCACTCTGGATATGTCACTAGTACTCACATCAGTCAAGGCAGAACTGTGTATGTGTCACACGTACACCACCGATCCCTTTGGTGGATGAAATTTCGGTCAAAATGATGACTTGGTCACTGATATATGTTAAACACTGTCAATTTAGCTGTAAAATATGGGTTACTTAATCAAATAAAATGACTATAAGCTTCCATTTGAATAGGATTAACATTACTAGGGGAGGTGAGGGATAAAATATTCCCCCTCCTTCTTGATATTTAACTCACCATTGTGAAAAAGATTTTAAACTTTGTGAAATAGTTTGAGAGACAACAGAGCTGAAGGGGGGACAGAGACACTGTGGGAGGTGAATTTGAGTCAATCACTGCGCGCCTTCTCAGAGTCATAACTCAGTCAAATCTTAACACACAAAAACCTATACTGACATCATTCAACATCCAGAGGGTATCATTATTGCAATAGAACATCTATATATCTTTTTGAAAAACCCACATCAGACACTGTCAGAGAATCATTACATTTTTAAGTTGTCTTCGGTATCCAGTGACAGGTGTGTGCTATGTGTACGCTGCAAACAAGTGCTACCGGCTAGTTCAGCATTCTTTTAATGGTCCGAATTTTCCACAAAGATAGCTAGAAAAACTTTTATTCATCCCCAGGGAAACGCAACTGTCCAGTAGCTCATAAAAACAACCACACACACTCATGAACAATAAAATAATAATATTAAAATAGGTTATCCTTAGAACTCATATTTACCATAACTAGACTGTGATCTAACAAACAAATCCTAGCTCTCCTGGCTCAAGTTAATAAAAAAAGTCCATCACTTTTGCATTGTGTGATCAAAGTTGGCCCTTTTCTGTTACGGTTGGAACTGTCTGGAGATCTAAACTCGAGGACCCAATATGCGACACTCAGAAGGAGGGTGAGAATCAATGTTATACTTATTAGAGTGACAGCAGAGATGGCTAGACCCACAGACTCAGTAGATCTCACACTAAAGAGGGGTAGAACCGGCTGGGCAAGCTGGAGATGCAGAGGGGTGATGAGTGTGTAGATATGGTTCTGCTGGTATGTGCGTGGTGGTATCTGTGAAGAACTGAAATGTGAGTGTAGGTGTAACTCTGTAGTCTGGGATGTGTACAGTGGCCTGTGTGCATAATGTCTCTGATGGTATTATCAGGTTACTGTCAGACAGTAGTGTGTGTGACCAGTTCACCCAGGCAGGAGGGAGATGGTGGGATGCTGAATTGAGGCTACAGAGAGGCGCCAGCAGGAAGGCAGAGAGGAGAAAGAGGTCAGGTAATGCAGGTCCTGCTGTCCAGATGGGGTAGATGATCTGCTAACCCAAGAAGGTGATAGATGGTGGGATGCAGAGTCGAGACCATGAAGCAGCACCGGGTGACAGGAAAGCAGAGTGGAGGAGTCTTACAGCTGAGGTGTAGAGCTGGTAGCTGGATTGTCGAGCGAGGAGTCGCAGCTGCATTCTGATCAGCAGGGGCTGAAATCACCAGTGATCTGGAGAGACAAAACAGAGAGCCAAGCATATGTCTGAAAGTCATACAACAAACTGGCAATAAGGACACACCTGCTACCTGCTACCTGCTTATATGCCACTGGGCAGAATAGTTTCAGGTGTGCCTCGTCGCCGAGTGCAGGTGCAGGAATGTGAGGGAGCAGAGGTTCCAGCCACTTTTCATGTCCCGTGAATCTGTGCTGTGGTTGCTTTTCAGGGGGACAACACTTAGCAAATACAGGGTCTCTTTTACAAAGCCCTAACCACATTGTCATGCTGATAGCCCAGACCCCAGTATAAAGGGTCCCGGCCTCATTCAATGAGAATGGTTGTTTCACCTTAGGCTGGGGGTGGAAGAGGTGAGGAGCAGAGGGATACAAAGAAGGAGGATGGTAAAAGTGGAGTTTCAGGAGAGAGGAAGGGAGGAGGTAGTTTAGGAGGTGAGTGGAGTGGGAAGTTGCAAAGCAGCCATGAGCAGTGATAAGGAAACACACACCATGTCCTTACCCATCAGAGGTTTGGATTAGCTGGGTTATTTCAACAGGCTGTGATATCAGTGTGGTGCAGGTCTCTGAGCTACTAATTATTGTTTACTGCCTGAATTTAAAGTAATTATTCATTCAGAGTGGTATAGCTACATTCATATCATCAGGTTTATATATATTGACACCCTTTAAGGCCAAGCTATGAACCATGGAAGACCAGCTGGTGTACAGGGGGTTCAGATTTTCAGAAGTGTATTGATGCCAGAACCACTGTGTTATAAAATTACTCTAAGGCAAAATAACAAGTCTATTATCAGAACAAGACTTCTTAAAAGCTGTGGTTTTTGTATTTCCTTCAACCAGGATATTTCTCCTTGGCTACAAACATCACTGCCAAGACACTAACAACACTGCCTTTACTCTGTGGAAAGAGTCGTTCTGAATCTGAACAGGTGACCCAAACATCTGCCTACACAATATTGAAACTGTCAAATTAAACACTTGCAAATGTAAGTAACATTACTTGCATGATTTCTCAAGATGTTCACGGGTCATGTGTGAGGATGATCTTCTTATGACGTTCAATGAAGGCTCCACTAGAAAAAAGTCAAAAGTAAAGTGTCATGTTTTAAAGGAACAGTGATGGTTTTCTTCTTCTGCTGTCTGATGCGTTCTACCACTTTCCTCTAGCATCACACACTCTGCTATAATGTGACCCTGACAACCCCCACTGATCCACTGAGCAGATGACCATTACTCTGAATGACCGTTACTCAAGAGACCATCATGACAATGCACTCCATTCAAAACCACTAACCCTTAAAAGAGCTCCCCATTCAGCACAACCACCATATGCCTAATGTCTTCCTCCTGATGATTTGTTTGTGTCAAGGCCACTGAAGAGCTCAGGTCTGTCTTTCATGGGACAGCTATGTCCCCTTACTCTTATAAGAGATGTAATTAAGTGTTAGAGGAGCATCAGAGATGACCTCAGTGACAAAAAAATCTGAGGGAACTTGGCTGTCATCACCACGTATACGTGAGAATCAATAGTGAGCACTGAGGATCGCCTTTCTCGAGCGAGCTAGATGATAAAAGAGAGAGGACAGGTGAATCTGACAGGCCAAATGGGGAGGTCAAGGGTTGGGTTTGAGGTATTGGCTGGCAGGGAAGCTGATCTGGTTAAGTTCTTGTCTCCATCTTCATCTGAGATGAGCAGTCTGCCTTTCTTCTTTTCTTGGCCCAGAGCCCCAGAGGTCCCTCCCTTCCCTGCCATTCAGAAGTGAAATGAGCAAAGGTTGGGTATCGGAGCAATTACCAGTTGAAATTAAAAACTGTGAGTGAACACAGAAGGGTAGGTCTGTGTTTG